CTGCGAGCGACCGCCGGAGCACCGGCGCGGGCGGCGAGGGCATGGCGGGCGCGCGCGCGCGGCGCGTTGCGCGGGGGTCAGGCTGTGGGCTGTGGGCGGCCCTGAGCTGAGAGCGGCCACGGAGGGCACGGGTCTCCCGCTCACTGCGCGCGCCGGCCTGGCCTGCTCGCGCTCCGGGCCCTGCCCCACGGAGCCACCCCCGCTCTCCTGCTTGGGGCTCTCGGCCCCTCTGGCGCCCATGCGTGGCGGCCTTGCCCCACCGGTGCGCCTTTCTCCAGCGCCCCTGGCTCCTCGCCCGCGGGTCACCTGCTCGCGGGCGGGCTGGGTTCGCCGCCCCCTCGCCATTCCCCGCCGGCGCCCTGAGCTGGCGCCCTGAGCCGGGCAGAGCAGCACCAGTGGTCCGATGAAGTGCCTGAGACGAGCGACGGACGGCCAGAGAAACGCAAAGCTAAAGGAGGGGGAGGAGGAGGAGGAGGGAAGAGGAGGAGGGAAGAGGAGGAGGAGGAGGAGGAGGAGGAGGAGGAGGAGGAGGACGAGGAGGAGGAGGTGGAGGAGGAGGAGGAGAAGGAGGAGGAGGAGGAGGAGCAGGAGGAGGGGGAGGAGGAGCAGGGCCGGTGCCTCGGCCGAGGACCGCTGGGAGGTGCAGGCAGCGGGCGAAGGGGTCCATGCAGAGAGCCCAGACCGTGCCCGAGAGGGCAGGGCTCGAGTTAAACAGTCTTTTCCGTTTTCGTTTCGTTTTCGTCATCCCTAGTTCTGTCTTCGTTCCACATTTGCTGCAAAACGAAGTCAAAGCGAAAACGGCCCACGAAATTGCCAAAACACCGTGTAGCTCGAGCCCTGCAAGAGGGGACATCCCTGGGCCACCATCGACGAGACCGTGAAGAGCGGGCGGCGGGCTGCTCCGCAGCGCGGGTGGGCGAGAGCCTCCGAGTATATAGAGCACGGACTATATTCGGGAAGCCCGTCGGGATGCGATGACGCTCGGGCACGCGCCAAAGGAAGGGTTTGAAGAGGGAGGGGAAGGCAGCTCGGAGGTCAAAGGAATAGAAGAGAGAAAGAACCAAGCAGGGTGGTGGCTGGCGGCGCGGGCGATCGCATCCTGACGGACGACGTGCGACAGGAAGTTTCGACAGCGCACAAAGCCCTGCTGGCTCGAGTGCGTCCGCGCGGCAGCGAACGGCGCGAGGGCACGGTTCGCTGCCGCAGCAACGGCCTTGGCATCACAACTCTTGAGGCTCAGTGGTCGGAGCTTGGACGCGTGCCTGGTCGCGTCCATGGCGTCCGACGACTCGCCGCCATTGGGGACAGAGACCAGATCGGCAAAATTGAAGCCAATCGGGGCACCCTTGCCCTGATACAATCCAACCACCATGTCATAGAGGATGTCCGTGTGACGACGGCCAGGCAGCCAAGCAAAAGCGGGAAGTCTATCGGGTCCAGGGGCCGCGGGCTTGGCCTGATGCAGGACCGACCGCAATACTGCAGGAGAGGGAACTTCAAGACCAAGGTGTTCGAGTTCAGGATGATGAGCGTCATCAACCGCAGCGGTGTCGACGGCGCGGTCCGTGAAGATGGGCTGCCAATGCTGCCGCAAGCCGTCGATGATCATGGTGGGGTGTCCTTCCACATCAGACTGGTGTCCCTCGCCATCCGCTCGAATACCAGATGGGATCCAAAGAAGAGCGCGTCGTTGGGCGGCACGTTGCGTCTTCCTCATCTGTAGCGTGGCGGGGCCCTCCGTGCCAGCCTGCAAGCGCGCGCTCTCACGGAGGCGAGCCGCCGCAGCCACCTGCTGGTGCTCGTGCCAGTAGAAGTGGAGGTCCCTGCGCTCCTGCTCGAACGCGCTGGGGTTGGAGAGCGAGATGCGTTCGTCGCTGTTGATGGTCAGGTGCTGGCGGCCGATGTCGTTGGAGGTGATCAGCTTGGAAGCGAGGTGGAAATTCTGCCTCCAAATGGCTCTCGCAATTGTGCGAACCAGTATGCGGCGTCCATCAAGAGTCTCGCCAGAACCATCACCAATGAGCAAGGCCTGAAGCCCGTTGCGTGTGATACGCGCGGCCCCGGTCATCTGAGCTAAACCTCCGCCCAGCGGCTCTCCGGGGCGACGTCCGAGAAGTCGGAGTGGTTGAGCAGGTTGGTGACATGCTTGGAGAAGCGCGGGGAGGTGAAAACATTCTGCGGGATAGCCCGATCATCGGGAGCAGCAGCGACGCGCGGCTGAATCTTCAGCTGGATGATGGCGTGGTCGCTGAGGCCCCAGCTCGCCAAGGAGACTGCCTCTTGCCACATCTCGAAGGTGACGGTCCGAGAGGAAGTAAGGCTTCAACGAAACAAAGGCTCTGTCGATGAAGGAGCACGTCTGGCGTCGCGTAGAATAGTGTGGGGAGCTCGCGCACCACCTCCAACAACTCCCGCTGGAAGAGATTGCGCCATAAGCCGTGGGCCTGGTTGCCCCTATGCCGGACCGATCGGCCGTTGCCACCAGCTCGTCGGTGATCCGCGAGGACGAGGAGGAGGAGGAAAAGGCGAAGGAGGAAGAGGAGGACGACGGCGACGAGGAGGGCGACAACGACGACAACTACGAGGGTGACGACTGCGACGATTGCGACGACGACCCTCACGGGCGGGTCGGGCGGGCAGACTCTGACGGGCGGGTCAGTCGTCGCCCTCCGCCTCCTCCGCCTCCGCCTCCTCCTCCTCCTCCTCCTCCTCCTCCTCCTCCTCCTCCCCCTCCTCATCCTCCTCGTCGTCGTCGTCCTCCTCCTCCACCTCCCCGTCCTCCTCTCCTTCCCTTCTGGGGTGCACTCGGAGAGCAAGTGTAGACGGATTCCGCCTCCATGCTCTGTTTCTCCACCTCCTCCTCCTCATCATCCCTCTCCTCGTCCTTCTCCTCTTCGTCTTCTTTCCTAGTGTTCTTCCCCCCCCTTGCTCCTCCTCCCCATCCCCTCTCCTTGCCCTCGTTCCCCGCCTCCTCCTCCTCCTCCTCCTCCTCCTCCTCCTCCTCCTCCCGGCTGTCCTTCTCACCCTTGTCCCTTCTCAGAACGCCCTAGCCCCGTCCCGTGCCCTGTCAAAAATCACGACGTCGGAGTTCTTGGTGGGGGAGAGGGGTCAGACGCAACCGCGGCGGCACCAGACGCGACCGCTGCGACGCGTCGCGGCGCAACCGCGGCACCAGGCGCGAGGAGCTGGTGCATCGGCGAACTCGCCCGAGACACCCCGCCACAGCATCCCGAAGATGAGGGAGCTCAGGGGACAGCTTCTCTGGCGCCCTCGTTCTCTCTCTCTCTCTCTTTCTCCCTCTGCCTCTCCATGAGGATGGGGACTGTGAGCATGAGGAAGCTGAGGGGCAGATGCGGTGGACGAGTTGGAGGCAAAACTGAGGATCGAGGAGAAGGATCAAGGAGGAGGAGGAGGAGAAGGAGGAGGAGAAGGAGGAGGAGAAGCAGGAGGAGGTATGATCGAGGAGAAGGAGGAGGAGGAGGGAAGAGGATGAGGATGAGGGGAGGAGGAGGAGGAGGAGGAGGAGGAGGAGGAGGAGGAGGAGGAGGAAGAGGACCATCGTCTCCTATTGTGGCGGAGGAGCGGGGCGGCTTATCGGTGGGGGGAAGAATTAGGGGGCTTGCCGCCCTGGCAAAGGCCAGGGCGGCCGTGAGTGCATCGCAGCGAGCCGCCGTACATGTGCAGCAGCTGCCGCAGCATCGAGCGGGCAAGATTCGCGTGGCATATTGCGCACCGCAGCCCCTACTTCAGGTATGTCACACCTTTCCACCCACCTCCCCTTCTGCCTCAGCTGCCACACCTACCTACCGCTGCCTCAGTTTGACCAGACCGCCGACCTAGGGAGGCACACACGTCCCCCACACTCGGTGGACCCCCCCCCCGGGCCGCTCACGGGTCAATGCGGGCGAGGGATCCCGTCCTTGACCCGGGGGGGAAGCCCGTGGAGGGTTCCTGTGAGCAAGGGGTGAGGCCCTTGTGCCTCCCACCTTGGCGAGAGTGGACCGCGGTCATTGTCACTGAGGGAAGGGGCGGGCTTGTACTTCAGGGGGCGGGGACGGTTCATGGACCACCACTGGCCGCCCAGGCAAGGGCCAGAACGGGCGTGGCCGCAACACGGAGGCCGCCCGCAGCAAGCTCACTCTCCCGTCCGCGCAGCCTACAGCCGCACCTGCTGCACCCGCGCAACCTACCTTCTCAGATGCAGCATGCACGCTCCAGCCTCGGAGGAAGCCTACGTTTGCTGGCATCTTCTACCCCCCCTAGATTCCTTCCTTCCTCAGTCTCTGTCACACTGCCAATCTGCCACACCCAAACTACCGCTGCCTCAGTCTGTGACCAGGCCACCGCCCAGGGGAGGCACAAACCTCTCCCGCGCTCGGTGGACCCCTCCCCCAGGCGGCCCCCAGGTCAGTGTAATGGGAGCCCTACGCGAGCGTGCTGGCGAGGGATCCCGTCTTTGACCTGGGGGGACGCCTGTGAAGGCTCCTATGCGCAGGGGGGAAAGCCCTTGTGCCTCCCACCCCCGCGAGTGGACCGCGGCCAACGTGATTATGGGCTGCGATGTGGGACGTTCCGCTGTTTTCTGTGCTAGCCTGGCTATGACGAAACGATCTTGAGATCGCTGGCAATGGCGTTATTGGACTTGTTTTTGTTCGGTCCTAGCCTGGCAATGGCGAACCGATGATGAAAGCCACGAGATGCGATAGCGTTGCACCTTACCAGCGCGAATGAGCTCACCACTGGCCGCCCAAGCAATGGCCACAACAGCCGTGGCCGCAACACAGAGGCAGCCCGAGGCAGGCCCGCTTTTCTCCTCCTCGCTCTACCTGTGCCGCCACACACCGACGTGCTGCCGAGTGTCGCCGCCTACCCCTTCCCCTCCTCTTCCTCGTCATGGCATGTCGTCGTTCCTCCCCGTCCCGCCCTCTCCTCGACTGCAGTCTGTCGGTATCCCTCACCTGTTAAATTCTACCGCACCGCCTGTGCCGCCTCAAACCGATGCTGCCGACTGTCGCCGCCTACTCCTTCCCCTCCTCTTCCTTG